GGTTTGAAGGCCAAGTGAAGCTTGAATTAAGTAAAGATGAGACTGTTTCTGAAACGATTAAGTGGCTTTCACGAGGTCCACAACCACTTGTGAATACTTATGAGGGTTACGATATCAATGGAATTACTTTTGCCACTTGTCGTCAAGATGAAAAAAGTATGCAACAAAATAGTGGTGTTGTCGTGGTTGCATCTTCTAATGAATACTCAAGTTCGAGGGATACAAGGCCAGTTGAAGCTACACAGGCATATTACGGTGTCATTTAAGAAATCTAGGAGTTGGATTATGTTGATTTCACAATTCCTTTATTTCGTTGCACATGGGCTTATAATTGTCGTGGTACAAACACCGATGAGTTATTTGGATTCACCTTGGTTGACTCTAGTTGTTATACTGATGGTGATGAGCCTTTTGTATTAGCCTCACTATCGACCCATCAAGGATAATATAGATCCGCAATGACGTGTTTTAGTTGAAGGCAAGAGAAAAATTGTGGGTGGGGAAGATGTTGTGGATGAAGAAGAGTATGACCCATTTGATGACATCCCGCCTATAACAATGGGAGTGCAACCTCTACAAGAAGGGGAAGATATTGTTGATGATGTAGAGTATGATCGTGGGGAAGGGTTAGTGGTTCCTATAACTACAACCAAGTTTGTGTTATTGTATTCCTTTAACAATAGTATTTTTTTTGCAATTAATATTGAATTTATTAAATTGGTATATATCCAAATCATTAATTTCTTTATTGTATAGTATTTACATTAATATGATTTTATTGTTATGGTTTTGATTCTATTCTTGTTAATTTCATTCTTTGTGTAGGTGTAGGCATACTACAATGGAGGAAAACATAGATGATCATGATGGACAGGAACAATCTAATGACATGGATGCCTCCACTTCCCAAGTAAAATCTTCTACAAAAAAGGGACGAGGCCTGTCCAGAGCAGTCCAAACAACTTGACCCATGTTCCTCGAATTTGATGAGTTTGACATGCCTATTTGAAAGTGGGAATCTGGTTATGGGAAGCAATGCAAATTGGTAATTGTGCTCAAAGAGTTAACATTAATGTGAAGGGATATCCGAAGTATGATAAAGTTCAAAAGCAAAACTTGTGGGAGGAGAGTAAGGTAATTACGATATAAATATGGTTTATTGCTCTAAATTTGACGATACTTATAATTAAATATGAATATTAACATTCTCTAATTTTGTAGCGGAAGTTCCACCTTGATGATTCCAAGGGTAGTAAATAGAAGAAGTTCCACGAAGCTGTTGGTGCTAGATTTAGGAAGCACAAGTCTTGGTTAGTTTCACGATTTATTACTAAGGAAACTGCACCTCCGCCTGACTCACCATGCAAACATTAAGCCTTGGGAGCTTTATGAAGGTTACATCACAGAAGAGCAATGGAAAGAGTTTGAGACATGTTGCAATATAGATGAATTTAAGGTGTGTAAGATATTATGAAAGTATTTTTCACATACATACTTTATTTCAACTACAATACTACTTACAATAGCTTTCAATTTTGTAATAGGCTTTGAGTGAAAAAGGCAAGGAAAATGCAAAGAATAATAAGCATCGCAACCATCTAGGCTCCAAGAGTTATGAGAGGGCTCGAGTTGAGTAAGACCAATAGAATTCCAGCAGAATCTTCAACCTCAAGCACCACAGAGTCCACGAAAAGCTGTGTAATGAGTGAAAAGCTTAAAAATCGGTCTCTTTAATGGATTTTGGCCCGTCAAACTCGTAATGCAGATGGATCGTGGGATATAGACCCGAAGAATGCCAAAACCCAGCAAATATCCAATGCTATTATAAGTGTTGTTCTAAGTAAGCAAGTATAGTTTTTTTTCAGTTACTTATTTATACTTTTGAGCTGATAAGTGATCAAGCCTTTTTTTTTATTGCTCATTTCCTGCATTGTTTAATGGGAGGCCTTTTCTGTTTATCGTTCATTTCCTACTTCCTGCGTTGTTTAATGGGATTTGCTAAAATTGAGGCGTTTTCCGATCAGTTCTAATCAGTTCCGATTTGTTCTGATCCGTTCCGATCAGTTCTGAAATTACAGTTCTGATCAGTTTCGATCTGTTCTGAAATTACAGTACTGATCAGTTCCGATTAGTTCTGATCCGTTCCAATAAGTTCTAAAATTTCAGTTCTGATCAATTCCGATCAGTTTTGAAATTTCAGTTCCGATCATTTCTGAAATTTTAGTTCTGATCAGTTCCGATCAGTTCTGAAATTTTTGTTCTGATCAGTTTTGAAATTTCAGTTATGATCAGTTCTCAACAGTTCCGATCAGTCCTGAAATTTTAGTTCTGGTTAGTTGTTGCTTGCTTAGTTGTTGTTAACCATGCATATAGAAAAAGGCAAGGACCTGTGGATTTGTGATGGTGTTAATACTTAGTATGTCATTTAGATGGAAGGGTGAATGGGTGATGGTGAACTTCTGACTGTAAGGGTAATGAGCGAGCTAGTTATGTTATTTAGATGCTTACCTCTGCTTTAAATGGGTGATGGTGAACTTCTGACTATTGGCAGTAGAAGATTGAGCGCAAAGTTGCCTTAATGATAAACAGAAATAGGCTACAAACTAAAAGTTGTAAGAAGGTCCTTTATAAGCACTTTACTGTACAAGCTATTGCATTTTTAAACAGGCCCACAGTGTAATTGATTTCCATTTCCATGTGCACAATTTTGTTTATGTTTTCATATTATACAGATTGCGCTTGTACTTGACTGTATTATACACTCATATTGGTGTTGTACATTGAGATTATTATATAATAATTTATATCCCCTACTTTCTGTCCTAGCTCCTGTTTGCACTCTTCATCTTTGTTTCTCCTTATTTGTTTACTTACTTCTACTATATTCTCTATTTTCCCTATGTTCCCCTTTGTCCCTAATCTGAATGTGGCTCACCATGTCGTAGTAGTGGTAAGTATCTGTCTTTGTGCAAATAATCAAGTCTAGCAATCATGTCATAAGCTCTTCTGAAATTTCAGTTCCGATCAGTTCTGAAATTTCAGTTCTGATCAGTTGTAAAATTTCAGTTCCGATCAGTTCTGAAATTTCAGTTCTGAACAGTTCCGATAAGTTCTGAAATTTCAGTTCCGATTAGTTCTGAAATTTCAGTTCCGATCAGTTCTGAAATTTCAGTTTCGATCAGTTCTGAAATTTCAGTTCTGATCACTTCCGATCAGTTATGAAATTTCAGTTCCGATCACTTTCGATTAGTTTTGAAATTTCAGTTCCGATCAGTTCTGAAATTTCAGTTCTGATCAGTTCCGATCGATCACTGAAATTTCAGTTCCGATCAGTTCTGAAATTTCAGTTTCGATCAGTTCTGTTTACTTCTATACTATATATGTTGTAGGCTACAAGTCTATTTATGCATATCATTTTTTTTTCAATTCAGGTTCTTGTTCTACCATATCTTATATATGTCTTTTTTTTAATAGTTGGAAAACTTGCAAAAGAATGACGAAGGAAACAATTCAAGTGATGGTATTGGTATGGATGCTCTCGACAAGGCTTTAGGAAAAAGGGATCACCGTGGGCATGTAAAAGCACTAGGAAGGTGTGGGGTTGGAGTTAGTCACACACAAGTATTTGGGAAGGGATACAAAAAGGGTAAATCATCCAGCCAAGGTGGATGCTCATTAGAAGAGTTAGAATCCATGAAAGTTACCCTAACTCAAGAATTTAAGGCGAGGCTAGAAGAAAAGGTTGAAGAGAAGCTTCAAGAGAGGATTGAAGAGAGGATCGAAGAGAGGTTGGAACAACAGGTGGCAATGGAGGTGAAAGCTTATCTCGCCAATTTACTACCACAGATGACCGCTGACGTGGAGGCATTTCAAAGAATGCAAGTGATGACGAACATGGAGGCAACACAAAGCCCTCGTGTAATAGAGGTATATGTCTTTAACTAATACTAAAGATGTGACTTTACATGGTTAACATGTATAATATTGATCGAGTTTTTTGTAATATGTAGGTAGCCACTAAATGTCGCCTATCATTGAAAGATGAGTACAACCAAAATTTAGTGTTTGTGGCAGATGGAACGGTATATCCTGTTACCGATGAAGTTACTCACAGCCTGAAGATGTTACCTGATCATTACAGGGTTAGTGTAGACAACCCTTATCCCGACTGTGCCCTCCTCGATATGCCGATACCGTCTCCCGATGGGGTGACTAAGTAGGGAAAAGCCAAGTCTTCCTTTGTACTATGGCCTATTGTCATGGTTTTTTTTTGAAGAAGAGGTATATTCTCCTACTATTAACATTAAATCCCATCATTTTTGTATACTTTATCTAGACTAATATTCACCTATTTGTAAAGGTTTCATAATCGCCCAAAAAGAAGCATAGATCTCGCCAAAGCAAAGAAGGGGACGATAGTTGTGGTGTGAAATCAAGGCAATCTACCATCAAACCCACAAAATTCCTACCACTTGAAGATAAAATTGTCGATACTTTTGGCGAGGGGTGTGAGTTGTTGTATTGGTTAATGAATTCTAATGATGCAAAGTATGATACAACATCGATACTTTTAAAGGCCTCAATGTTTAATTTTGTAGCGACAAACAGATTTGGGTAACCACTACCGATGTACGTGAATTACTAAGAGGATTGTGGGCTAATGTTTTCATTGATTCATGTTTATATCATGTAGGTTACTTAATCTTCCTTTACTTTGGTTCTTATATTCACTATAATAATATTTTTATTGCTATAATGCTGATTTTTTTTGTTTTCCATGTCTTTATCATGTAGGTATTTAGTAGACAACTTCATCGACCTTTTCAACAGGACTGAGATCACATTCTTTTGTCCTCAACTCATTTCCGAATCTTCAATTGAGAATGATTACCTTGAAACTTATACATACGTGAAGAATACATTTTTGCATGAAGTGAGAAAGACAGGTAAACGTTGCAAATTCATCGTGGCTCCATATGTCGCATGGTTCAAAATATGTTTTTTATATTGCCACTAAACTTAATCATATAAATGATATGTTTTTCACCAATTTTCCAATACTCTAACTTGTGTTTTCCTCTTAAATGATGTAGTGGTCATTGGGTTCTTGTGGTGGTCGATCTACAGTTAGGTTTAGCTTATGAGTTTGACTCTATGAAGCTACCTAAAGAAAATCCACGAAAATTGAAAATTGTCGAGATTATGATGACGTGAGCCACAACCTTGAAATTATGCCCTAGTTTCTATATCATTTTTTTATGTGGTGATGTAGATTATTTTGTTCTAAGTGTTAGATTATATATTATTTTTGTAGGGCTTATAAAGTATATTGGGCGAATCTCACAGGTAGTGAATTGAAATCACAAAGGAAAAAATTGAAATTCTTACAAATGGAGGTAAATACACTACTCACCCCATATTATTATACATTTTTCACTTTGAAAACAAAATTTTTAACTATTTTTTATATATACTAGTGTGCTCAACAACAAGGAGGTGTTGAATGTGGCTACTACATTATGAGATACATGTATGAGATTGTTACTTCTCACTTGGAGTGCAAAGGTGTCTAAGAGGAGGTTTGTTGTTTTTTTTGCAAATTTTAAAGCCTTTTTAGCTCTATACACTCCCAAGAGTAAGATAATGGTCAATTGTTATTGATTTCAATTTATAAAAACAAAAATATAAGGTAATTAAGTACCATTATCAGAATGTGCATATAAAACATTATCGAGATAAAACGAACATTCATTGTCTTTTACTCGAAATTAAAAATCCTTGGCGTCCAACTCCGAAATAGAAATGATGTTTTTGGAAATGTTAGGAACGTAATAAAAGTTATCTAGTTCCAAAACAAGCCCGGTGGGCAAAGACAAACTGAGAGTTCCTAAGGATACAACACTAATTGTGGCTCCATTGTCGACCCGGAGTTCAACCTCTCCCTTCTTTAGCCTTCTAGCGTTCCTTAGTCCCTGAGAATTGGAACAAAGGTGTGAGCCACATCCTCTATCTATACCCATGATGCTACGCTAGTGAAGTTAAAGTCTATAAGGAATATACCTGATTCAGAAGCAATGGTTCCGTTCTTCTTATCTTCCTTGAACTAGAGGCAATCTCTCTTCCAATGTACCTTCTTCTTACAGTAGAAGCATTCGGAATCAGATTTAGAAAATGCTACCTTCTTCTCTTTGTTATTCTTTGTAGCTTTAGGCTTAGGCGGAAAGGTTTCCTCTTGCCCTTCCCCTTAAAGCCTTTCTTTTTTTGCTTGAGAATTGGAACGACTTGCTCCTTTTGATCATGAGCATATCATGCTTCCCCCATCCTTGAGCGTTTGCTCTGCTTGCTTCAACATACCATGAAACTCGGTGAGGGTTTTCTCCATGTAATACTGTGCATGTTATTGTTCATGTTGAACTGATCATAGCCTTTGTGCAGCAAGTGGAGAATGATGTCAATTGCCATCTCGGTTGAATACCCTGCATCAAGCCTTCCCATGTTCTCAAACAATCCTATCATTTTGAGTACATGTGGGCTACTGACTCTCCTTTCTTGAGCTTGCTCTCAAGTATCTGCCTGTGGGTTTCAAACCTTTCAGTTCGGGCCTGCTCTTGAAACATATTCTGCAATTCAGAAATGATCTCAAAAGCTTTCTCCTTCTCAAAGAAAGTCTTTTGAATCTCTGGAGACATTGTGGCCAACATGATGCATTTGACATCTCGATTAGCACTTTGCCATCGATTTAGGGCAGCCTAAGTCACCTCCTCATTGGGAGCCTTGGGCATTTCCTCATCAAGGACATATTTCTTTTGCTCTAGCATGTCAACAATTCGCAAGTTCCTTTGCCAATCAAGAAAATTTGGCCCACTCAGCTTCTCCTTGTCGAGAATTGAGCGTAACAAGAATTGGTTGTTTGTGTTATTTGAAGACATGATTCTACAATAATAAAAACCATTCATGAAATATAAATAAGATTGAATTCATACATTTTAATTAAACTTACTTAAAACGTCTTATTCACACACTTAAAGTTGTCCCCAATTTGGTGAGAATAAGTCGATTCCAAAATCCGAACAAATAAAGAGTGGTTAAGCATGCTTTGGCTTGTCTTAACACTCAATCTCCTAAGGTAAGCAACGCTTTTCTAATGGCTCCAAGCGACTCTTGGTTGAATAAATCGCCGCATCTAATGCTCTCTCAACAATTTATTCACTTTGCCACGACATGTTAGGACTCCATTACTCATATCGTTGAGTATAACCAAAACCAACTTGCATACCCGGTATGCCTTACTTCCTAGGAGAGGTAGTGATGCCTCGCTTTGGCGTAGCACACCACTACCGTCGTTCGGCCGGTAAGTGTTGTTTTGGAGTGGCAAGTTTTTACTCAATGTTTGTGGACCTAAACATGCATCTAACATATAACTCATGTACATAAACATATATATAGAAAAAAATGAATATAGATGCATTTGTCAACTAGCATGACCCCTTGAGATCTTCAAATCTACAAAAGTTCTTCATTTGCAACTTCATAGCTACGTCTTCCAAGAACCTCAATCTTCAAGACTTAACCATAATCAAATGCAATTACTAGTATCTAATATTAGGACTAATCTAAATATTATGGTACGAAAATACTTAACGGTACATAGACCATATTTAGATTTACAAAAATACATCACCGATTGCAGTCCGTATTTTCTATCATAATCAGGCCCCACCAATTGCCATTTCATCAAACCTGTGAGAGAATATACATTCCATTCATCCATTCACTATTTGTAAATGGCCCATGCATTTTACAACGGTAAATATGTAACAATGCAAAAAAAAAATAAAAAACCATGCGTGAACTAATAACTAATCTAGGTGGTTAATCCAATTAACATGCCTAATTAAAAATAGTCAAAATTATTTTAACCGGTTATGTAAATAAGCGAAATTTAATATTTGAAGCTCCCACTGAATTCTGCATCCAACTTAATTAATCCAATTAATTAAGCTGGTAATTCCCAAAATTTTGCCAATGCCACTCAAAACCGAGGCCTAGCCTCCAAAAAATTTATAAAAATAATTGAAACAAATTAGATTAATAAAATTATTAAAGCCACATTTTTAAGCAAAATTACGTAGTCCAAAGTATCAAAGTGCCTATCATTAAGACACGGAGTGCTCACATTTCGCACAACTATTAGACGCTCAATAAACTTGGGAGTGGGACCAATGTCGCTAAGCGTTACACCGCCCACATCAGCGAACTTTCACACATAAAAAACATGGCCCTTGATGGCCATGTTGAATAAATTCATTGCACTACATTGCTTCGCGAGCATCGTCGACGTATACCCCTAATTACATAATACATGCACCAAGTTCAAACGATGCACCATGTACTCGTGCCCAGCATCAGCGCGCCACAACAACCTCAACTGCACGCAACACTGCACACATGCACGCACACACTTGGTAGCATGTTGTTGTGTTGTGCTGCTGCAGCTTGCGGCCGTGCGCACCAGCCACGCAATGGCTGCACGCACAGGGCATGGCAGCCACATGCGGGCTGCTATGCAGCCTGGCTAGCCAAGGGCGTTCATGCCTTGTTTTGTGTGCCATTTTCCTCGGGATTTGATCCCCAAAAATTTTTTTTGCGTGACTTTCGAAATTAATTCTAAATTAATTTTAGAACTAATTTCATGAGCATAATTAAAATTTAAATAAGTCTAACGAAAATAAAATTTTTAAAGTGCATGAAACTAAAATAATTCCCAACAACCATTCTTTAATAAAATTGGTTTAACTTGGTGCAATAAAAATAATAGGGCAAATACTCAGATCACTATTAATTTAATTATTTTAAATTTACTTTGAGTTTTGACAAAATAAGAGATAGTTGGAAAAATTAACATTAACTCAATAAAGATTCCAACTTTAATACTTGTGAATCCTTGAAAAATTATATCTTCTAATATGAAGATAAACACTTTTTCTATCACAAAGTTTAAACTTTATGATTCCAATAAACTAAAAAATGATTAAATCAATAAAGTTTAAGAAAATTCATGGAATTTAGTAATATAAAGTTTCAATCCCTTAACATAGTTAAAGATTGAATCTTTAATACTTGGAAGTCTCAAACAACAATAATTTCACACTTAATGCAATTAGTTTGCAATTATGTGAAAAAAAAAACCAAGCATTCAAGCACAAATTACTACAAATTAACCATGCCTAAAGAGGTTTAAAAATGCAGATAAAATAGTTATTCAACCAATTACATAACCACCATAAATATGCAATTAATTTTAAAGGTTAGAAAGACTTAATTTTTTTTTTGTAAAAACGAAAAAACCCTCGAAAATAGCATTTATTCGTTTTTAGCTAAAAACCGCACCCTAAAAGAATAAAACCATTTCCAGAACACATTTTCCACCCAAAATTCACTATTTTTCATTCGAAATTTGGGTTCGGGGCTGAAGGTAGCTTAAATGCGAGGTTAAAATAGGTAATATGATCTACTAATCTAATTAGCAACTTAAAACTTAAAAATAAGCCATAAAAATCACCTTGAAAAAAAATATTATGATTTTAAAAATAAACGAGCGTGGCTCCGATACCAATGTTGGGGTTTGGTAAGTCTAACTTACCGCGGAAAGGACCCTGACCCGAAGAACCAGTCGCAATTAATACAACCATAAAGCATAATAAATAAACAAAAAAGGGTAAAATCGGAATTTATCTTTGACGCGTGCTTTGCCCTCAAAGTCGGGCTCTTACTGGAAAGCCTTAGCCCCGCTCACACGAGAGCCTCCAACGGTATCCACCCAAAAGGACGAACACCGACTTTTTAGGTCCGCTACCTTGGAGTTAGCAAGGTCCGAACCAAAACCCGAGGGATTAAATGAGTTCAAAGGTTTTCACAATGGTGATGCCTTTATCAACTCTCACTCAAGTGATTTTCCCAATACCCCAACTTGGGTATTTATAGGGAAAACTTGAGAGTGAAAAAGCTCTCCCATCAATATGAGAGAATTTGATTTTTCCATTTTATTTTAAAGCTAAAATAAAATAAATATTCAAACTAGTAATAAATCAACAAGTGGCAAGCTCATGAGAGAGGTTAGGTAAGGACCATTTGGAGTAGGGGGGACCAAACTTACTCCCACTCCCACTCAAAAAACCGGCCTCCTCATGCCTCAAGCTTCCCGTCACAATGGTGAACATGGCACCACACATGGGCACTAAGGCAACCCAAGGTGGGCTTCCATGTGCGGCTGCCAGCACGCCCAACGGAAGCGTGCGGGCTGCTTGGCTCTCCTTGCCAGCACGCCCTGCAAAGCTTGTGCGGGCTGCTTGCGCAATCGGCCAGCAAGCCGCGCATCAATGATGCGGGCTGCTAGCTGAGTGCCTTGCACCTTGCGTGCGTTGGCCCAACACAGCTAACATGCTGTGCTAGCATTGGTGCGCTAGCACGCACCAGCCAACGTAGGCTTGGCTTGGTGCGCATGCTAGCCACTATGCTATACCAAATGCCCTTAGCACTCTATTTTCTAGGGGCATTTCGATGCTAGGGGTATTTTGAT